CTTCCCCAAACACACAAGCAACCTACCAACTAACAATGGGATTTTTTTCATTAGATAATGGTCACTTGGACTTTCACTTGAACCCACCTTGCTAATTGAATCATGTATGTTTATGGATGAAATTATAACTAAGAGTAAGGGTAAACCAAGCCAAAACCGAAAAATTAAGTCGAATCGTGCAATTTGGGGCAGTTCAATTCGTTTTTGTAATGTAAAAAAAAGGGTTCAGTTACGGTCAAGTTTTTTCCTACATTGCAGTGCGGTGTGGTTATAATTTTTTTGTAAGTTCAATTTTTGGTTTCGTTTGGTTTGATGCGATTTTGTACCGAACCGCACCAAAGTTAGTAAAATGCATAGAAAAATTGTGATAAAATTAAAAACTGAGCCAAACAGTGTAGTTTGGTTCTATTATTTCAATGTAAAAAAATGGGCACGGTTTCGGTTCAATTTTTTAAATTGCGGCATGGTTCAGTTATCTTTTCTTATAAGTTCGGCTATTCGGTTTTTATGGTTTGGTGCGGTTTTTCACAGGACTGCACTGTTGCTCACTCCTAGTTATAACTAGAGTCAAGTTGATTTCATGTGGCTCTAACTTTTGTCCTAGTTTCTTATTTTCACATTTTGGTCATGTGACGTAGCACAGACGAAAGGAACAAGAGATAAAAAATCTCATGTAGATAATTTTCTTATTCAACAAAAACTAATCATCTAACCCTTCTGCAACAGAATAAATAGACTCCTATGCCTAGTAAAGTCCTAACTTGCTAATCAAGTTTGAATCCTAACAGATAAATATTATATCCTAACAATAAAAAGAGATAAATAAGTAATAATAGAAATTAATAATAATTATGAATAATTATTTTAATGTCGGGATTCGATCGTATTTCTCCAAAAAAGCTATCGCGAACTCGTCTCCATCATCCTCCCCCGGTTTAGAAGGATTCGCCCTCGAATCCGAAACGAGCTCGTCGCTGTCAGGTTTATCGCCCAGAAATGGCACCAAATGTTTCACATTAAACACGTCAGAAATGCGAATATGTGATGGAAGCCGGAGACGAAAGGCTGTGGGATTGATCTTCTCGACGATCTCGACCGGGCCAATTTTACGGACCGACAACTTGGTATACGCGCTAGCCGAAAAGCTGTCCGATGGCAAAAATACCCACACATAATCACCAACGTCAAATCCATTACCGTCGACGCGTGTACGTAAAAAAGAATTTACTATTCCTGAATCTACGCGCATTGGCCCCACGTCGGATGCATTATTTTTAAAACCAACACAAGCACTCACAGGACTTCCACTCCCACTACCATCATTATTTTTAAAACCAACATAAGCATTCACAGGACTTCCATTCCCACTACCAGGACCAATAAAATAGCAATGATCCTTACATTTGTCAACAGACAAAGAATCATGAAATGAACGCACTCCAAAATCCATGAAATGTGCGCCACCATAATGCCCAATATATTTATATGTCATCTGTAGCCCATTACGAACCATCCCAGGCTGAGGAAAATATTTAGCCGCCAAACCAACCTGAGCGTTTAAAATGGAAGCAGGCACCACAGGTAGAACAACCTCACGAGCTCTCGCGTGGGACTCGTCCTCAGATGCCTCGAGACATGTTAGCGGTACACGTAAAGAGTCATTCGACGAGATTTGAGGGGAGAAAAACGAACGACGAAGAACCAAAGTACGACCAACATCTCTGTATACGTGTTCTTCAATCGGTTCGGGCCCTTTGTCAAAAATCGGAGGGGCGTCGTATAACGGAGGCTCGCCCTGATCATCTTTGTCATCGGCAAATAAAGCTCGAACACCACCGGGTCGAGGACACGCCGACTGTCGGTGGCCGACCTCACCACATGAAAAACATCGGAGCCTGCCCGACACTCGTGTGTTCTGCTGAGAACCTACCGCGGCACCAGGAGGGCTAAAACCCGTTGCCGTTGTGCGCCCTGTGCCGTAAGTACCAGCCCCTGCGCTGCCACCTGGCCCAACCGTCGTCGACTGCCCAGCCGGCACAATCGCTGCACCATGACCACCCGTCCTGGCCGCTGGAAGCAAAGAAGAAGAAGCTCGTCGCTCGAGTTGTTGTTCCACCAAAACAGCACGTTGATGGGCGTCGGAAATAGAATTCGGAGAGAACAAGATAAGTGTGTCCTGGATTGGTAATCGAAGTCCTCCAATATAACAGGAGATGAGTTGATCTGTTGTCTCCCGGGCATCCAATCTCGTGAGAAGACGATAGAATGTCTCGGTATATTCGTTAACTGAACGTTGTCCCTGCCTCAGATTTTGGAATTGCATGAAAAGAGTACGCATATAATTATAAGGGAGGAAATCACGGTCGAGATGTTTACGGAACTTGGCCCAATCAGTGATTTTTTATTTTCCCATACGGCGTCTGGACGCCTTGAGTTGTTGCCACCATGCAGCGGCCCGATCACGAAATCGGGTCGCGACAAGTTCTACTCGCAAGTTTGTTGGAATCCCTTTGAAGTCGATAGCGGACTCGACCGCGGCCATCCAATCCAAAAAGTCCGTTGCCTCCAGGCCGCTGGTAAATTCTGGAATTTCCACACGAAAAGACGATTTCCAGCGCTTCTCCTCGTCTGGATCATCATCTTCACGGGCTAGATGTCCAAAAGGGTTGACTTCGGTGTTAGAATTATAGGTACGTAAATATTCAGATTTTCACACAAATATCAGAAATTTAAATACGCAGCGGAAAATAAACGAACACGAAAGGTTCAAAATTTAGCCTACAAGTGAAAATCACTTGTAGACTAAGGCACATGCCAAAAATTCACTAGAACAAATCAAGTTTGATGTTTTCATACAATACCAAAATAATTTCAACACATCTAGTGAATAACGAAAATAAAAAATCGCGAGTTCAAACGAGATGCACTAAATAAAATCAAACTAATAATCTGCTGTAATATTCTCCAAAGCAAGAAAAACAAAATCTGCTCCTTTGTATATGCCACCACACTGCTGCTTTAAGGACAATCAGAAAATGCTCCCTTCTCTGTTTCTACACGCGATCTGTAGTTCTGCCTTTTGCTCTGTGTCACCCCTTTTTTTCTTAAGCCTCCCCAAAAAAGTGATGGTCGCCCCCCAATAAATCAAGAGTCCTAAAAGTCTTTGATTCTACTTCCTTATTTTCCTTTTTCTTTTCCTGTATCAATACCTAATCAGATAAAGAAGAATATTAACATCATAAATAATATTTACTAATTATACTAAATAATAAAACAAAGAAAGAAAAAAAATAAACAGAAAAGCAAAAAATAAAATAAAATAAAATAAAAACTATACGAATTAACAATCTCCCCCTTTTTTGCTTTTCTGAACAAAACAATATAATCATTAATCACTCCCCCTAAATAACACAATGAAAATCATATATAAAAGATATAGGGAAAAGAAATGCAAACAGTGATAACGTCGAACATTCGACGATACTGCAAGTATCGCTCAAGCACCGCTCTCCATCTCCCCCTTTTTGGTCAGAAAACATGGACTGTAGATGTCGGATACTAGAGTGTTATGCTCGATCTCAGCTTCAACTCCCCCTCAATTCAAGCATTTGAGAACGGCTCCCCCTAAATTTGAGGGGTTATGCGTGGCTTGGTTCGAATAGCTCCAACAGGCTTGAAAGCCAAGACATCATTCATCGCCATAGGAACAATGCACCCATTTTTTACAGATAACACTGCGCACCATGGGAGTTGATTCTCTATAGTCATACAAACAACCAGGGCAGTCATTTCCTTTCACAAACAATCTTCCACATGCATCACAACAAGTATAGCCTAAAACCACCTCAAGATAAGACCATGTATAGGATTACAGAACCACAACTGTGACACTTGTATGTTATGGACACAGAAGGTCCATGACCATCATTCTTGTGTGGAGGTTGCTGGCAATAACCAAACAATGGTGCACCATCATTCTTAGGATCTATGATTAACATTCGTAGGAACTCCACTTCTTCCACAGACCTCACACATCCTTTCAGAGAATACAAAATCGTCTGCTCGGGTGCGGACTGAGGCTTGGGCTCGGCTGCGGGCTGAGTAACTGAAGTTGCCTCATCATCAGAAGGAATATAAACACGACTTCGCTTCTCAACAGGTTGATTATCCGACCCAGGGTCAGACGTCCGAAATATGGCTCTACATATGGCTCGAGAGAACAAGACGCAACATATTGTGGCGAGAACACTTGGACCGGTGAAGAAACGTGTACCTGGCGGCGCAGGGGCAGTCTCGGTCTGTGACGACAACGGCTCGGAAACGGCAGCTAGAGGCACGGGAGAAGCAAGGGCGGTCGGCGGCGGCTGAGGTACGGCCGCACCTCTACGAGAAAGCGGGCTGGAGCTCCTAGCCGAAATTTGTGGACCACGAGCAGAGACCGGAGAAGTTGTAATGGTCGTCGCCGACAGAGTTTCTCCACCACCACGGAGCAACGGTCTCCGTGGTAAACGAACAGAAGTCGGCTGAGGGTGATTTGCCGCAGCTGAAGAAGATGAAGGTCGACGAGGTCTAGATTTTGCGACCGACAATGAGGAATCCGGTAAAGAAGAACCAAGTGAAGCCAATTTCCGCGTTGATTTTCGAGGAGCCATCGAAATTAGAGTTGTAGAACGAGATTTTGCCGAGAGAATTGGATTAGGAATTCTGAAAGCCCTAGGGTTTGAGGAGACGATGTCCTGTGAGAGAGATAAAAAGAACTAGAAGAAAACGTTAGAGAAACAAAAACACGCTAGCAACTTAAGATTTTTTTTTTTCTTATATATATATAAACAGAAAACGCAAAAAAAAATAAAAAAAAACGCTAACGAGAAACATTAAAGAAAAACGCTAGCACAGAACAATATGGACCAACGCTAACAAAAAAATGAACACAGGACAGAGACAGATTTTTAAAAGACATGGGCAAGGCTTAGAAATAAGCATACATGACAGCAACATATATTTTTAAGGCGTGGGCACGGCTTAACGGAGAGCACATCAATAAGCAATAAAAATTTGACACAAAGAAATGGTAAAGACGACTAAAAATATGCAAACGCACAAGAGACTCATTACGGACAAACCAAAATCAATAAGAATCATATCAACACATTAATCTCAAAGCCGTAAATATAGATTTCGCAATCATAATGCACGTCAACCTCATAGTCACCCAAATTTTCCAAACTCGCGAACTCACTCCACAGAAAGCACTACTCATTCAAAGACATAGAAGATAGTTCCACAATTCACACATCGCACAAAGAAACAAGATCATAGCTTTAACATTCACCAAGTATGCATGTCCTAATTATGCCTAAAAAGAATGCCGAAGAAAGTAAAAGAAATTTAAAACGTGAACGGTATAATCAATGTTAGCACAAAAAAAATAATGACACACTTAACACCTTTACATGGACTAAAAATCGCACTTCAATGTTTTTTTTTTTTTTTTTTT